GAGCCGTAATTTCGAACGACAACGAGAAGCGGCTCCACCCGCCCTTCGTCATGCGAAAGTCCGAAACCGATCTTACCGCCATTAAACGCCCTTATATATATATATATAAAGATAGCGATGGTCGGCCAACGGCGCGTATCAATCACGATAATAGGACAATAAATATCGGACCGACAGGGCGGCTAAGGTCAAAAGTGCACCACCTTGCAATTTCTGCCCGAGTTGCCATCCCCTCCGACGCCCAACTAACCATCGCGCCCGCAATATGTAATCGCGGTTCCCTATCGCGGCCTAAGCCTCGCATTATGGCGCGCCCGTCCCCATTTCTTCCCATATCGAGCACGTCTACTACCCACCATACGCTCGTATTCGATCGGTTAACGAGATCACGGTTTACTTTTATTACCTGCAACCCTTAAGTAAGTTAATCCTTAAGAGAAATCGTATCCTCGAACCCGTTGATCCCGCGTGTATATGACGGAGATGGGATAGGGGTTACACTACCCTCGAATGCGCGAGACTAGTGGCGCGCGTAAAGTTCGTTTTTCCCCGCGTTGTAAACTATAAAAGAAGGGAAAGGAAGGAAGGAAGGAAGGAAGGAAGGAAGGAAGGGTCTGGGCTAACTATTAAAAGTTGCAAATTGCTGCAGACACACACTGCGGGTCCGACCGACCTTCGGCTCCTCTTCGTCCTATCCTTAACTTACTTACATACCCCGGCATGCCTCGCTTACTTATTCCTTATCCTTTCCCTGTTTCCGCGCCGCAGTTTCCTCGCGTTACATTACTTGTTCATGTTCTTTCCTCGTTGCATCTGGTGCAACTCCCTGGGAAAGGTGTAAGCGACCAGGTATGCAAACTTTTGGATAACGAAACAACTCTCTCCTCCTCTCTTACTCTTTCTCTCTCTCTCTCTCTCTGTTCGCTTGCCGTTGTATTATTTTTCGCATTTGTTAAAGGGAAAAGTTTCGAAACGATCCTTCCCCTAGACTAGATCGGTGGGGAGGGGGGTAACAGCTGGCCTGCAGTTCCACGATTATGAAACATCCTCCGCTCACCATCCTCGTATATATGCACACGATTTGATCCGATTATCGACTTATGTATAATTTTCGACAGAATCATCGAGATGAAATATTCATTCGACGGGATCGAACGATATAAATATTATATTCGCTCGTATACAACCCCGCGTTTATCTTTATGTCCACCCCTTCCCCGTGATATTTACACGTTCACGCGCGCGTGAAAATTGTGAACGGTGGGGTGGATGTACGTGTAGGATCCTGTGTTTTTTCCGCTCGTTTGTTTCCCGAAAATTTGCTTCTCCGTATTTCGTGTCTTTGTCATCGATGCGCGACGACAGGAGTGATTCCTCCCCTCTTGTTCCTCTTTCTTGTTATCTTTGACGAAGGACGAGATTTTGATCTCCAATGCATTTCCCCTCCGAATAAATCGTGAAGGGATTTTCAAAAGGATCCTTTTTTTCGAACTTCATTTATCAACGGATGAGTATCAGTTTTCGAAGAAGGTGATAAATTCTCTGCTCTGGCCATCATTCAGGCTCGCCGTCTTCGAACCGTCACTGTTCAAACATCGATTTTTGCAAGCTGGAAAAAAAGTTCGTCTCTTCTTTCCTTCGCTTATTAGCGTAACCTTTGAAATTCGTCGATGTCGACTAATCGACGCTCGATCGATCTCGAATAAGAGGGTACGAAGCAAAATTCGATAAATTTTTATAAACTCCGCCTTGTCGAATTTCTTCTTCGAGTTTCTTTTTTCTTTTTTTGGAAATACTACCGCGCAAAGATACGTTAACGTTCGATGATTTAATGTACCTCGAAACGATACCGCGCAATCCCTTGGAGGAGATATCCACGGGGAACCCATCTGGGATCTGGGATTTATAAATAAATTCCTTTCGAAATGGAAAAGGGGACGCGCAAACGTAGCGTAAAAATGACAAACAACGCGCGATAAACCCGTCACATTACACATCAATTATCGTGTTGGGTGCCCCCTCCCCCTCAAATGTTTCGATCATTGTCGTTTTCTTTCCAATTGAGCATCGCTGTATCGCGATTGTAACGGGGCTAATAAAGCAAATGAAACGCGCATCGTTGCCCCGATTCGGGCACCGAATCGTGCTCCAATAAAGGGCATTAACGGCATTTATTTTACCAGTTAGCTGCGGCTTTTCATTTCTCTTCCCGCCCAACGCATCCCCATAAAGCATTTTCCAACACGCGCCGCATTCGATGCGAATCGGACAAAGCGTTCGTATCCATCCAAGTAAACGGTTTATCGGATACTATTTTGCTTACGTGGGCAAATTTCGTTCGTAATTCGGTTTAATCATCGCTTGATTACCGAATTCGGCCTAATTAACATCCTCTCTTCGAAAATATATATAAATAATCGAAGGATCGTTTTTCTAATTTGTCGAGGATAATTTTCGACGAAGGGAAAAGAAGAGGGGAAGAAGAAGAGGGGGAAAAAGGATAATAAGGAGAGGAAGGAGAATGCTAAGAAAATGAAGAGTAACGATTCGATATCAAGGGCGCCATTTGCGTATCGTTCGTAAGGATGACACCATTTTTCCATTAAGTCTGTCCACAGTCTGTGGCAACGGGAAGCGGAAAAGGGTTTACGATTATCCACGCTCGTTCGACCGTTATTCGAATACTTCTCCCAACAGCCTCCCTTAATATTCCTCCTCCGGATTAATTATCCGCCCGGAACTATCCCACAGTCGTAAATTCTAAGCAACGTGTAAAACGTACACGCGCCTCTGCAACTTTGCTACCTCGCTGATGAAATCTCGTCTTTTGAACTTGCACTCGGCGCGCAATGACGCATTCTCGTTAATAATTCACTCGTGTAACTCGCGATTCTGTGCACCGCGTGTGTATACCCGAATGGCCAGGGATTTACTTTACACTCGAGTGAATTGATACAGCGATCGAATTAATACGCGACATCAATCGAAATGTTGGGTGTTGAGGAACAGGATTTATTACTTTCGAGTGAAAATGGAAGAGAGAGAGAGAGAGAAAGTGACGAGTAAAGGAAAAAGAAAAAAAGAAATCGAATTGTTGACTCGATATTTTATATTTTATAATTGTTTACGGATTTTATGGATCGTTTATTATGATAAGTTGTTTTGTTTTCGAAATTCTAATCTCGAATCCATATATATATATATGTATATATAGAATATTAAGGGATTAACCGGATTACAAAATGTATATTAATGACGAGTAATTAAAACAATGATAATAATAATTTCATGAATTATATACCTGTTTTGATATATACGTCCATTTTGTAATGATGTTACGTATATTTTACGCTTCGCTCCTATCAGCCTATTAATAATAGGATAAACCCAATTGGTAATCCCTCGATATAAACACATTTCAGATGTGTGCGTGTATTTCATTACTTTATAAAATTGTAACTGTCAAGATTTCGAGGATCTCGAGAATGACAGATACGACGAAAGAATTCGTTTTCGTTTTTCGGATCGGATCTCACGTTTCTCTTTTTACCACCTTGCACGCGGTTTCTTCGAAATGACTTTTACTATCTATCGAAATCGACGACGCGGAGGATCGAGGGGAGAGGATACATTGCGATGCATAAAGAATCTAGTTTATGGCGGCCGTTAAGAGGCGACGATACCCGACATGTCCTATTTCCGCGAATCGCCGTCTTTTTTCGTATATCTCTGCCCCTCTGGCCATCCCTTTGCCGAATCAAATAGCGAATGTTAACTATATGATCTATAAACGAAATTACTCGTCGTTCTGGAGAAAATCTAGAAATCTGTCGCGTCTAGAAAATCGCGAGAGTGCTTTATCAGCTGAAACGTTTTAACGCGTCTGGGCAGAGAGGTATAAATTCGATCGATTCCTTGTCCTTTCGAAATAACTTTACTGCCATCTTTTTACGCCGGTGATTCGAAATGTTATCCGTGGATGTTGGACCAAAAACGTTAAAATATTTCTCTGAAAGATGGTTCGAATTGAGAATTCGTTATAGTTTTTCGTACGTTACACTCTTCTATATGTTTTCTTCTATATGCATAACGAGTGATGATTTATCGTTTATTGTTTCAGGAGATGAAAGTTAATTGGGCCACGTCTCCGGGAAACCAACCAAAGCAAGACACCAGCAGTAAGTATGGCGTAACGTTGCGGTGTTACGTTGTGAATGTTGGTGGTATAATATGTTTTATAAGGTTGCATGATATTTTAAGGTGATATGATTGTGAAATTACAATAATTGAACGCGGGATTATTATAAACGATTCTATCAAGCGGTACAAATCTTTTTCTAAAAGATGTAAAATATTTTATTAACCAATTGGCCAACGGCCAATACAAAGAGGCCTTATAATTTATCCTTCTTTGTTACGGCACCGCGATATTCAATTCATCGAGACTTTATTGAACGGACAATGTACTTACGTATTTCAATTTCACCGTTATATTCACTCTCAATATTACGTTATGATATATCGTTCTCTTTGAGCCACCGTTTAACATAATAGTCGAGCAAACTTATTTCCCGAGCAAAAATATTTTTTCTACGTTTCCCGCGTTTCGAAAACAGCCCGAATTAACAAATAAATGTAGAATAATTTTTAATTCTTACATTTTTATTGCATCCGCGTAAATGAATAATCCTCGTACACGGATAAGGAACAAAGAATCGTGAAATTAATTTGCATATTGCGGCTAATTATTCGGGATATAAATTACTCGTTTATAGCCCCGGAAAGTTGAAAAGTTATTAAAGGACTCTAAACATCTTATCGTTGGTCTTAAATCCCCCCCCTCCCTTCTCCTTTTTTTCTTTTTCAGATCGCCCTTA